GCAGCGATGCTTGGGGCCCCACTGGGGGAGCAGGAGCATCCGCACCCTCCTCCATCCCCGTCCTCCTCCCGCCGCCACTCTCCCAAGAGCTGGGAACCATCCGGGTCTCCCACTGCAGATGCTCCAGAGAAGTCCCCTCCGCTCTGTGTCCTGGTCGCACACCCAAGGTCAGCGCTGGCCCTGGGCTGGGAGCAGTTTGCACAGCCCCCAATCCCTGCCCCATCCCACAGGAACAGTGGCAGAGAACATCCCATCCCGTCCTGGTGCCACACTGACCCACCGGGGCCACGCTGGGATGCACGGGAGTTCCTGTGGATCCACGGGCAGGATCCATCCTCGCCCTGTCTCCATGGCGACGCAGCCCATTGCGATCAATATTTGCCTGCAGCCAGCGCTGGGAGACCGCAATTCCTGCACCAGGGAGCTAATGAGCCATTCCTTACTTGTGCAAGAGGGACAGGGATGGGCACGGGGAATCAAAGGCATCGCTCCTGCCCGTGGTGTTACCGCATCCCTAGGGAGCTGCTAGAGGGCGAGGCCGGCAGCAGGAGCTGTGGATGCTGGTGCTGCTTTAGGGTTCAACCACTGTTGAGGTTGTAACGACCATCCCGGCGTTAAGAAGCACCAACCTCATGCTGCAGCAGGAGCAGCCGGAATGGTTCCAGGGTGCAGGAGGAAGCAGGAGCGGGAGGAATGGTTCCAGGGTGCAGGAGCAGCTCACTCCCATGGGAAGGGCTGGGTCCCACTGGGCTGTGCTTCTGCCCCAGCAGCCATCACAAATCCTGTTAAGATTCCAAGGAACAACAGGGATTCCTTTCAGCAGGCAGAGGTTCCCACAGGGATGGGCCTGGGAAGCCTGGAGGCTGCTCCATGCTCCACATTGATGTGCTGCGCACAAAGGGAATGCGGCTAAGGACAGAGAACAGCAGAGCCACAGAAGCACCAGCTCTTTTCCCCACTGAGGGCTTCATCCATCCACCTTTCCCCCTACTCTTGAGCATCCTCCTGCTCCCACCAGCTCCCTTCAAAGTAAAGCCTGCTCCAAACCTCCAGGCTGCTCCATGACACCCGAGCACGCCCTGAGAGCCCCAGGCCCACATCAGGGAACTTTAAGAGTTGAGCACACAGGAACGAACCCAGAGCTGCTCCCTGAGGAACCAACGGGCACAAGAACTGACATAATCCTGCAGGAGACAACAGGGAACGTCGCTCATGGTGGCTGGGAAGCAGCAGGACTTCCAGCCAGCCAGAAAGCTCTGACACATCTAAAGCACTAGAGTATTTTGACTGGGAAGTGGGTTATTCCATGGATATTAGCTAGAACATAGGGAAAGTTTAGGAATGTGAAGTAAAAAAAAGGCAGAGTGCCTGGTCCCAGCTCCCAGCTCTGCTCAGCGGCTG